TGACTGCTTCTTGAAATGTGAAGACAGCAATCCAAAATTTCAAGGAACATGAAAACTCAAGGAAACATACACCACCAATAAACCCACAATAATTATACTGACCCCAAAGAAATGGAGCTCTGTGACAGCCCAAGTAAGAACTCAAAATAGTTGTTTTAAGGAAGTTCAATGAAATACAAGAACACACGGAAAGACAATTGAGCAAAATCGGGAAGAAAATTTGCAAACAAAAGAAGAAGCTCAACAGAGAGATCAAAATCATAAAGAAGAACCAAAGAGAAACTCTGGAGCTAAAGAATACAAAAATGAAATGAAAAATGCAATAAAGAATGCCAATGGCAGACCTGATCCAGCAGGAAAAAAGAATCTGTGGTGTCAAAGAGATCATTTGAAATTATCCAGTCAGAGGAAAACAAAGAAAAAAAGAATGAAAAAGAATGAAGAAAGCCTACCTGCATTATGTGATACCATTAATAGGAACAATGTATACCACTAATTGATACCACAAACAGAAACAATTCACAGAAACAGAACGAATGATCCTAAAATTTGTATGGAACCACAAAAGACCTGAATAGCCAAAGCAATGCTGAGAAAGAGACCAAGCTGGAGGCATCATGTTTCCTATACTATACTATAACAAGGCTATAGTAATCAGAACAGCATGCTACTAGCATAAAAACAGACACATAGATCAATGGAACAGGATAGAGAACCCAGAAATAAACACACACATATATGATCAATTAATTTATGTCAAAGGAGCCAAAATATACAAGGAAGAAAGGACAGTCTCTTCAATAAATCACATTGGGAAAACATGACAGCCACATGCTGTCAAAAAAAATGTCAAAAGAATGAAACTGGACCACTGTCTTACACCATATACAAAAATTAACTCAAAACATAAGACTTGAAACCATAAAACTCTTAGATTCAAAACACAGGCAATAAGCTCTTTGCCACTGGTCAGTGATGATTTTTTTGAATTTGACACCAAAAACAAAGGCAACAAAAGCAAAAATAAACAAGTGGGACTACATCAAACTAAAAGGCTTCTGTATAGCCAAAGAAACCATCAACAAAAGAAAACTCAACCTATGAAATGGGGGGAAAAAATGTACAAACCAGATATCTGATAGGGGTTAATATCCAAGATACATAAAGAACACATGGGCCGGCCGAGTGGAGCGTTGGTTAAGAGCTGGCTTGGGATGCCAGAGGGCCCCGATTCGGATCCCACATATGAGGGCCAGTGACACTGCCCTCTACAGCTAAGATG